ATTTCGTGTTGCCGCAACGCCGCGCGCGGCGGCTGCTCCCCCCGCGCCACTGCGCCTATTACTTTTCATAAACCCTTATTCCATCCAGCACAGGAACACATACATCATACAAATAAATTAAAGAAATGTGGTAAGAACAATGTGTAGTTTTTTTTTGTAACTTCAAAGGAAACCTTGAGCCAAATTGGCATTAGAGCAGACTGCACTGCGATCCCCCTCTTACCGAATGAGTCCCCTATTGCAAGCCTAGAAAGAGTAGGTCATCATCCATGATATATCAAGTTACGTAAACAATCATCAGAAAAAAAAACCGCAGGACGCAAAAACGCTCGACGAGCAATACGTCAACTTTTTGACCGATCTAGCATATGTGCCTCTGCCTTTTCTCTTGATTCCCCCGTTGTGAAGAGCAGTAATTACAATGCTTGTTGTGGATTTTTTTTTTCGCGTATTAATAACAAATGGTACGTGTGGTCGCGTAATGCGGGCAACTAGTGGAACCTTACGCCTAATTTTTTCTGTAGTGTTCTCTCGATTCAACAGTCTTGTTCTCTTGCTCCACTTACATTCTGACTCTCTATACGGGAACATTTTGGTACGCGCTGTCAGTACAAATGGTGAAACATGAGTTAGCACTTGAAAAATACGCTTTGCACTCGAAGGGATGTGAAAGCCGACGGTTGTCGGAAGAATTACGTGCTGATTTTGAAATATCATGTGATTACGTCATGGGGACTGCTTAGTGCATGTTATGCTACAACAATCAAATCAGTTTGCTCACAGTCCTCGTACTTGTGATATGACGTGGCATGAACATCTACTATCTCTGTGTGCTTGTTTCGTAATGAAGCCTACGCTTGCTCTGAGCAGTGCGTTCTGCGTTTGCATTAGGTGTATCTCGCTTTTTGCCTTTCATTGTTCGTGAACTTCAATCTGGCTTCTCAAAAGTTTTTGCCGGTCTCACAGTAGGGATCATTGCGATTTCGCAAAGTCAAAAGAATACAACTTCATTTCACTTTTCTAGGATGCAGTCATTGAATGGGTTGGGAGCGTGGGGTGGTTTCGGATGTAATCTTCAGCTTGGACCGTCACAACGACGGAGCGGTAAGCAACTATTTTTACTTAATATTATAAATCCGATGTGTTGTGATCCTCCAAGTCGGGATCATCCGATAGTTGAACAAGGCGGACGTTAAGAGTTTTAAAGTTACTGCTGGTACAAATTTCGAACTCAAAGGAAAACTCATGAGTTCTTTCCTAATGTTTTCATTTAGGACCCTTTTCAAACAGTTTTCGTGAATGGCTTCAACACTTTCGAGTGCTTTTTCGGAAATCCGGTTTTTCCCAGTAGTATTGGTCAAGAAGGAGTGATTTACAAACTGAACCGAATAAAATGACAACAGAGGGTCAGAGTAGTCGCAATGAGTTTATTCGGCCCATGGTGCACATGCCGGATGCGTGGTGTGCCATTTTAAACTATGCGGTGTACGCACACCTACCCGATAATTCACGAATTTGCTTTCAATATGGTGGTATTTGATACTCAGTAAAGTTGGTCTTGGTGTTTTATGAAGATTGGTATTCATGACTGGTTGAAATTGACCATCGTTACGCTTTCAGTCGTAAGGAGATCTACTGGTCAGCTTTGTCGTCCAAATTCATATTCGGCTGTGGTCAATCAAATTGGCAAGGAGCACATAAAAAGCGTACTAGGTACTGCTCTCTTTGTTCACATGGTCTTTTGAATTTGACATTGCAGTAGAATAACATGATCCACGAAACTTTCAGATCACCCTCTCCCTTTCATATGTCGTCGTGCTATTCGTCGCGATCGTTTCCACATTACTCTTAACGGTCAAATCACTGTTTCCATTGTACCCAGTACGGGAAGGATGTGTAAGTTAATCCGCGCAATTACGATTGCTTTCATTCAATTACTATATGCGGTATTGCATATTCATAAATGCCCTATTAGGGGTCTCATTGTAAGGTGTATTCAACCTTTGAATTCTCCAGTCGTGAGAAAATATCCTCCTCACGTTTGCTTACCATAACGCATTTTTATTTATATTTGTTTGAAGTGTGTTCCGATTTTCAAAATAACTGTCAGACAAAATTAATTATTTTACCCAGCGTCACTATGGTGTTCCAATTTTCAAATTACTGTCAGAAATTTCTTATTTACCTCAACTGTGGCTTTCGATGATGCTTTGAAGACGAAGTTTATCGGTATTGTTCTAGACATCCAAGAGCGTGGATTTCGTACAAGGCGAGCTGGAAGTGTTGGAGTTGGCGGCGTCAGTTCGAAATCTGACCGTGACAAAGCCAAGCAAGTCGAGTCAAAGTTTGCTATTGTAGCTTTATATCAAATTTTACTTTTAGATGGAGCATTTTTACTGACATGCTCGGTGTAACAAAGAAGAACAAAGAAGATACGGTTGATGGGTGGAATCAATACGACACTGATCTAAAGAAGTTGCCCGAGGCGCAACAGAAAACTTACACTGTGGGTTGCAGCATAATTGATTAATTGATCTTAAACGCATTTAAGCTTTCATTTCCATTGGCGTTTACTATTTCATCACGTCTTTGCAAGAGTTCCCAGGTATCTGGTTATTTCATGTAAGATAAGTGTTGCGCGACCTGAAGAACTCATATAAGTTGTGATTATGATTACTATTTGTATATTCGAATTCATTTATCATATGTTAAATGTGCTTCATGTTAAGGACGGGTTCGTAAAAGGTCTTCTGGCGTCAAAGTCACAGAATTCTACGCCGCCGAAAAAATCGAATACACTTACTCGTTTTTACATATTTTTGGCAGCATGTATATTTCTTGGATACTTGAGTGGCGGTTCGTTTCTTTTCCATTGCACGAATTCAGCTTTGGTCAATATCTGCACGGTTATGTTTTTTTTTCACGATTTTTTTCTTTTGAAACTTATTTTTTTATTACAAATATAATCGTTGTTTCCAATTTCTTCATGTAGCTAAAGCTTGCTCTAGCTATTCGTGTTCGAATAGGCGATCGCCAGTTTGGTTCGCTGTTCTTCACCAACACTCAGGAGGTAAAACCAGAAGATGTTCAAGTTACCTTCGACGATGTTCGAGGAGTGAGTCCATTAAAGTTTTCTTTTATCGAAACGCAAATATTTGAATTGGGTCCTTTTCTCCTTGTCCGTCAGCGGGCAGAAGTTTTTGATAGGCTTTTCTGACAAAATTTGAGTCTGAGATGTGCACAGATGAGTGATGAACAGTCAACTTTCTGCTCAAGTAGAACTTCTGTTCAGGCCTGACATACTAGAGCTAGGTAGCCATAAGGGTCCAAAAACTCATTCATATGTGCTATTTGAATTGTGTTAGTGAAGTGAATGTTCAGATGGATGAAGCAAAGCAAGAGGTTGAAGAAATTGTGGATTATCTCCGTGATCCTGAGAAGTACTCTCGTCTTGGCGGTCGTCTTCCCAAGGGTGTACTGTTAGTGGGACCTCCTGGAACCGGCAAAACGCTTCTAGCGAGAGCCATTGCTGGCGAAGCACAGGTGAATTAATATATTCATAACCTTTTAGTATTGTGTCTTTTCGGAACCTCATCGCTTGAAATGAACTTTTGATGCCTTGGTAATTTGATATTAATAGCTATTCAATGAAACCTACCCCTTTGACGAAGTGTTAGTCGGTCAAGGGGCTCGTAGAGTGCGTGATCTGTTTGACAAGGCCAAGTCTAGGTTAGATTTTACGTGCATATTCCATTAGTTGTTTGTTTCTGCAATTTGTTTCTCTATGGTTCCCGCCTTTTTTATACAGAGCTCCATGCATAATCTTCATCGATGAGATTGACAGCGTCGGTTCAAAGCGAGTCTCCAACAGTATACACCCCTATGCAAATCAGACGATTAACCAGTTGTTAAGGTTTGTAACCTGTCATCCAGTTTTCTTATTACGTTCTAGATTCTACTTTTTGATATTTTTGGTGACAAGTTATAGCAACTCTGCAACTTAACTGTTCAGTTGAACTGTTTAGTTGCAGACGATTTTTTAGTAGACAGACTACTTCTCAATGGTTTTGTTTCATGGAAAAATTGCTGCTGAAAACTGGCTATTGTTCTAGAGTAGAGAGAATTTGATCCAGCGTTTGATTATTTTTAGCGAAATGGATGGATTCAACAGAAACGAAGGTGTAATAGTGATTGCAGCGACAAATCGCGTGGATGATTTAGACAAGGTATTGCGATTCCAGTGTGGTCGGCGCTTAGATGGGCTGCACTTGTTGCTTTTAGGCTCTTCTTCGTCCAGGACGTTTCGACGTACGAGTAACAGTCCCACCGAGCCAGATCTGGCTGGTCGAATCGACATTTTTAACTTTTACCTTGGGAAGATAGTGCACTCTCCGCTTGTCGATCCTAAGACATTAGCAAAGGTATTTTATATGAAAGCGTAGAAGATTCTCAATTATGATTTCACTTAGCCGCTAACCGACTTCCTCACTTTAGGGCTCTACCGGTTTCACTGGTGCTGACATAGAAAACATGGTCAATCAAGCGGCATTAAAGGCTGCCACTGAATCAGCTCCAGAGGTCACAATGGCCCATCTTGACGAAGCGAGGGATAGGTAAGACTTTGTAAGAGATCTTCGTAATTTAGGCTTTCACAGCAGTCTTTGAATTTTAGAGTACTCATGGGCCCAGCTCGTACTGGTGGACGGATACCAGATGAGGAGGCAAATAGAAATACTGCATATCATGAAGCTGGGCATACCTTAGTTTCTCTCTACACAAAACATGCGACTCCTCTACACAAGGTATGAACAGCGCGGCTATTTCACTCGGCAGTTCTGAACACTGGGAAAATTTTGATGTTGTTAAGGTCACTATCATACCGCGTGGCCAATCGCTTGGTCACACTGCTATGTTACCCGAAAAAGACGAATATCAGATGACGAAGGGCCAAATACTCGCCGCTTTAGACGTCATGATGGGAGGAAGAGTGGCGGAGGAACTCATCTTTGGTGATGATATGGTAAGAGTTAAATGTTACCGGTTGGGTTACTCGTTGGGGTGTATCACTGTCAAGGACTTTTTTCTCATGATTTTGCGACTACTCTTTCAGGTTACGACTGGTGCTGCTGATGATTTGAAGAAAGCATCGCAGTTGGCTGTGCAAATGGTGAAAGCCTTTGGGATGAGCGAAAAGGTAAAAAGAATTTTTTAAGTTGCAGCCATCTGTCACGAATTCCCGCAAGCGTTTTCTCGGCTCGCCTTTCAGGTGATCATGAGATCATCTTCATTATTTTATCTTCAGGTTGGGCTACGAGATTTCACTGCTGAGGATTCGTCTACGTCAGCTTTGATCAAAATGAGTGATTTGAGTCCTCACACAGCAGAGGCTATCGATAGAGAAATCAACCAAGTTTTAGCAGACAGCTATCAACGAGCAAAAGAAATCCTTGTGAAGCATCGGGTATGTTCCAGGCTTCCAGTCAGTCTATTTTTACCATTTTTTGATATAGAAGAAGGTTCGAAGATATAGGTGGACGTACTACTTGAACTCGGTCCTTCAAACCGCCTTGTTTCATACTCCTACTTGCGCTCCCTCGTCTAAACAGTGGCTTATGACTTACTGTAATCTCACAT